CTTCCCTTCCCTTCCCTTCCCTTCCCTTCCCTTCCCTTCCCCAGCCCTGTGACAAGCTGCCAGCTCACATCTCCTCTCTGCTTCAATTCTCCTTCACACAGAGGCAAACACAGCCTCAAACACTTCAGAAAGATGAAAAAAGAACAAGCGGCAGGACACTCGTGAGCATGAGACAAAAAATTAAATTTTGCTCTCCGTGAGCCAGTAAAACAGCATTTCTCTTCAATCATCTCATATAAATCTCAAATTTCCCTGTTTTATGGGGTTATCCCATGATGACAAGAGAAGCAAGAAGTGACCATTTGCAGAGGTTTTRTTTGATTTCTGAGGCACATTCTGGGACAGTGGGGAAGTGAGGAAACAGAGGAGGTAAAAGAGGAGACAGARCCCACACTTGAGCCTCTCCTCACCTCCTCATCCCAGTAACTCTGTGCCACACTGTTCCAATGGTTTCCCATTTCTCTTTCCCCCTGCCCAGCCTGGCAGCACAGGACTGAAGCACCAAGGATAGCACATAGACAGCAGCGCTCCTCAGCACCTCAGTTCTGACAGAACTGACCTCATTTCTTCCTTCTCTCCCCTTCTCCCCACCAGCAATCCTGCCCTAATGAGTCAGACTTGGCTGAACGCTCCAATTTGCAGCCAAGCTCACAGAAGTGTCAAAAGCTCCTGCTGTCTATTTTCCAAATTACTTTCGGAACTCCTATCACARGAGTCTTATCAGAACAGCAGTTGTGACATTAAGCAGAACAAATACATCGTCATCTGGACAGAGGGAGACGTGCAAATCCCTGGGACACACCACACAGGCCAGCCCAAAAATCACTAGGCAGGAACATTAATCTAAGAACTAGTCCAGCAGAGTGTGTGCTTGATTATCAGTTAGGGCAAACCAGCAGGAATTAGATATTACAAACAGATTCTGGACTTCATTTAGCACCTGAATGACAAGTAATTTTTAACTGGAAGATGCTTTCTACTTTAAAAAGYAAATAGGATCTTTCTTTTCCCTTAAAAAATGTTCAATACATTGAATACCAAAATGCTGGAGTGGCACTCAGTGCTCTGGGCTGGGTGACAAGGTGGGGATTGGGCACTGGTAGGACTTGGTGACTTTGGAAGTCTTTTCCAAACTAATTGATTCTGTGATAATTCACTGTACAATAAAGCAGAGACTGTGAAATTGCCAACCAATATGCATTTGCTGCCACAGTTCCGTGGCTCAATGTCTGAAATCAACTTTTGTAAAAAGTTTGCAGCTTTTTTTGGTAATTTATTTGCCTGAACATGCACCACAAATGAGACTGCTATTGCTAAAAGCAGGTGTGAGCAGTGTTTGGTGTGTTCAGCTGGATTCCAGCTTCCATCAGATCCATCTCAACACACACAACAGCAGTTCCTGCAGCTGTAAACACGATTTATAGAAATCCACACCGGCTGAAATGACAGGTGAGAAAGCCTGGAGGAAGAACACCTTTCTCARGAATGGAATCACCACCAGCAGCAGCTCTGCCAAGCGCTCACAATCCCAACCCTGGCAAACGCAGAGCTTCAATTCCTCCTTCTCCCAGCAGAGGCTACTGCTCACCTACAAACCCATGGGCAGGGCACTGAGCAGAGCCAGAGGGGAAGGAATTGTGCCTCAACATCCTCCTGAAATGCAGAGAGGAAGCTCCTGGAGAAGCAGCTGCTCCTTTACCTTGTTTGCCACCGTGTACTGGTAGGAGTAGCGCTGCTTGCCGCTCATGTCCTCGTACACCGTGGGGACAATCTTCAGGATGTAGTCGTGAGAGGCAAGRGCTGTGCACAGAAAGGGCAGGGGAAGGACAATGTTAGCACTGAGAGAAAGGATTCAGCCCACAGAACAATTCAGAGTCACAAAAAAAGGGCGTCACCCTCCTCCTTATCTCAGCGATAAAGCGACAGCTCCACATCCCACATTTCTGCCCTTCATAGCGGACTTTGTCGGGCGTTTGGGTGACACCAGAAGCCACCCACCACTTCTGCAGGACCACAACCCACCCAGGGTTTGGGTTACTTGAASCTTCAGAACTGCTTGCTGCTATAAATGGTAAGCTTTTATCACCACCACAAACAGCCTGGTTAAATCAGGAACTGGCTGAGGTTAGGGCTGCAGCCCACTGAGATCATTTTGACAAAAAAATAACCTGAGGTATCACAACCTATGTAGTGCCATTTCTTGTGACACCCATCTATCTTTCTCTTCTTTCTTCTCCTACAGCTGCTTAACCTTTTTTTTTTTTTTTTTTTGTTATTTAAATGGCTCAGGCCATTTTTTTGTATCTGCTAGAATAGCTCTAAAACAGAATCGTAAATGTCACTTCTGAAGGATTCTCTAGCCAAATGTAACTCAATGACATTTGACTCCTGGAGGAAAAAAAAAAAACCCCAAACCCCAACTGTGTAGCTTCAGGAACAGCCACAGAAATTTTGTTCAAAGAAATGGACAGGACTGATGTCCTGCAGCAGCCTGAACTCTTGAGAGAGTTGTAGCATGCACTGGAAATTTATTTTTTGTGCTGGTCATAAAAAGTGCCATGAAAATGTCCCTCTTCCCATCCASAGAGCAGAAATTTTGAGGTAATTTGAAGCACAACTACAAGGAAAAGTTCTGGTGGAGGTAACAGCAGCAAAGGGACACAATAGGAATAGGGTAAGGATAAAAAAATTCCTTAAGGACTGCAAACGACCTTTTGGGCTCAGCCTTTTCTGTAGCACTGGAGGAAATGGAAATGTCAGCCAGCAATGTCTGGATCATTTTGGCTAAAGAGGCAAATTCAAGATTTCTGGATGCACCAGAATGGATGGCCCTGCTTTCCCTCCTGCAGAGGGKGGCTGAGAGCTGCAATCCCCAGGAATACCCACGGTTTGAGCTGAGCTTGTCTGCTCCCTCCAAGGCATTGAAYGCTCCATGAACGTTGTGGACCTGGAAAGCAAAAAGGAGGATGAAGAAATCGTGCTCTTGATGCTCTTGACCTTTGCTTCCCTACCCTGTAACCAGGAGATCAGCCTGATTCAACCCTGCCAAAAACAAAGGCTCAACCCAGTTAAAGATGACCCCAAATATCTTTCAGTGACCATCATCACAGAGGTTGGTTCCAAGTGAAAAAGCTGATTTCACAACACCTCACCAGATGAAACTCCAAAACCACTCCAAAGCTAAAGGAATTGCAGTTGGAAGAGGCCAGTTGTGAAATTTTCACCGTGAGGTATTTCCTAACTGTTCTGCAGAGTTGAATTAACTTATCAGGCTGAAAGGGAAATAAATGGGAGTAACACTCAGGGTAAAACTCAGCAGTTTTCCTGTACAGGTGGCTCAGAGCAGCTGGGTTTGGAGATGGGAAGGACACATCCCAGCATTGCCATCCCTTCAGCTTCTCCTGCAGCTGATCCCATGTGTGTGAGTATCTGTTTGCCCAGAATAACTGGATTTCCATGCCTTGCACACGCTGTGACCTGGAATCTGATCTCCACCAACAGAATAATCCAGGTGTGAACTCTCCAGARAGAAATTTCCAGACAGGGAGAAGCCCACAGCAGGAGCTGCAGGTCAGAGGTCGCTCACAGGATACAAAGAAAGGATAAATAACTCCACAACCTAGAAATTCCTGACCTTAAGTCAGGAAGGCAGAGTCTGGAAGGAGGATTTGGTCAAKGGTGTGCCAGTTTCACCTCCCCAACAGGGCAATGCCACCTCCTTCCCAGACCCTCTCAA